GGTTCACATCATCCAAGATATTGGTAGGTGACATATTTCTGTAATATAACATAGTTCGCAGGAGCTTTTGATATAAAACTTGTGATCAAGATCACATGACATAAATATTTAATTCTCAGGGGCATGCTCTGTCGTGTTGCTATATGCATCCAACCTTACTCAATCCTAAATGTACTACTATTAATATCGGTCGAGACTCAGCGAGTCTAATGAAACACTTATTCAATAGCATATCCAGCTTTTCTCGAAGTGTCGTTTTGATTGAATGCCTGATCAAATAATTCTTTCGACTCTTCGCTTTCATCATACCTTTCCCTCTCCTGCTCTCAAATCCAAATGGCGAGATCGAATAACCCCAACAGAACTAATTAGCCTCAATTTGACACCAAAAGAAATCACAAGGCAAGAATTAATAAATGAACTGATTATTACAGAAGCCGACTATCTCGCTGATCTGAAGTTCGTACATCGAGTAAGTAATGTAATGAAAGTTGGGAATGAAAGTTGGAAGGGAGTTGGGGCATGCTGCACGCAATTGAATCCATCCCAGATTGGGTGTAGATGTAAGATGTCAAACTGTTAGTCTTATATTTGGTAGCAGCATCACTGAGCAACCGAACTTCTGTAGTCGTTCTGCAAGCAGGCTCTTCAGAAAGGAATAAGACCGTGTGAACAATTGGTACGCCTATTCAGCAATATCGAAGATATGATAAGATTACATGACAATATTCTTATGGTGAGAGGAATAATTTTCATTTTATAATAAGTGGGATTGTTAAGAGGAAAACGGGAATTGTGACTGAAACAAGAAGCATTGTGGCTGAAGATAACGCTAATGTGAACGATCGCAATCTTATTGCCCTGATTTGGTTGTCAGTGTCTGCAGTCGCGGCAGATGAAACAGCAACCATGTGTCACAGCCGTATCGGATGTACTTTTACCATTTGTAAGTAAAGCTAAATATAATAATCAATAATCTGAATCAACTATCTATTCATTGATATGATATTTGATCGGTTGCATACAGGTTGATCGGTTCGATATCTATGAATCATACTTGGTGAACTATACAGCAGCAACGCAGCAGCTTGAAAAGGCAGTTAACGAAGAGAATGACTATGGACATTTTGTAAAAGTAGGGTCTAATTACAAATATTATCAGTTGTGGGCCAAACCATCAAAAAGTAACATATTATATTAACAAACATCTAGCAACAAGAACAATTGCCCACTTGCAGAAAGCTGCCGTTGCAAGCTTTTCTTATAGCACCTGTCCAAAGATTGGCGAAATATCCTTTACTATTTAAGGTAACGGAGAGTTATTGTATCTATATGTGTATGTGTGTGTACTTGCCATGCGAGCTATTATAGATAGTGCTACTACTAACATGGACGTTTTGTTGCAGAGTTTACTCGATGCGACTCCGCAACTCCATTCGGATTTTTGTCCGACCCACAAACTTTATAAGAGCATGGACGCATTCATTCGCAAAATAGAGGATGCTAAACGTAAAGAGGAGAGTCACGGACGTGTTATTGAGCTCCAGAGTCTAATCAAGATACCTCTTGTAAGATAGAGCAAATTGGTTTTTGTATTAATATACGATAATGATTTGGTTCTTAACCATCTTGTTCACATGATCATGCTGTCTAGAGTTTTAACCTGCTAAAACCAGGAAGAGAGCTTATACATGAGGGTTATTTATGCGGAGTGATAATTCCTGAATCACCAGGAGTCTACAATCCCGAACAAAATGCCGAGCCACAGAAAATTCGGCTTTATGTATTCCTATTCTCAGATATTGTTCTATGGACGCGTGAAAAGAATGGACAGTACAAATTAATAATTCCGCCGGCAAGAATCACGAATATTTCTGAAAATTCGGGTATGGATCTATACTAATTGTGTGTTATTGACTAATACTAGCGATGTTAGGCCTGATTGCTCCATATGGGTTGACTGGTCTCTAATGCTACCATGTCTTTTTGCAGATGGTATGTTTGAAGTCACATCTGTGCATACGGGAAAGACGACGTTTCTACTCTCTGCATCAAATGGAAAGGACAAGATTGTGTGGATAAAATCGTTACGCAGTGTCTTAAGACGACATACAAATCGTGGAAATGACGAAAGGTTGGATGAATGGTGGTTTTATTGTGGTGTAAGAGAAGCGAAGAGAAGGATGGGTGAGGTACATGTAGAAAAGGCGGGGGAATGAATGTTTGTAGATGGAACCCAACTTTGTTGAAGTAGAAATCTGAACACTTAAATTAATCGTTAGTGCGATTTGTATATAACTTAATATATTTTTGACGAGCATCTAGCAAGGTGATCTGGCATTCTTGATTTAATTGCATACGGCTCAAGTTCTGCATAATAAAGGACACTATTTCTGCGGTTGCTAAGATGCAAAGTTGAACAAGTGAGCAAATTGAAAAGTCTTGTTTAAACTACGTGCATTTGAAGATTTATTAAAAATGTAGTGGCATATTTCATTGAGACAGATCGTTCGTCGAAATAGATAACCGGATATTACGCCAAATTATTATTAGGCAATGCAAATGTACGCCCTGATTATGCTTTACCGCACATTTATGAGTCCTATCAAAACGCGGGCCCTAATGTGTATAAAAGCGTTGCCGTAGATTAACGAGGGAGACTAATCACATTTGATTGCTAAGTGATATCTATGTAGATCTGCTTATTACAAGACGAAACCAGCGAAAATGAGAAATTCTGACAGCATTACGGTAGATCGAACTAAATAAAAAAACAATCCTCCTTATTATGTGAGTATGAGCTGACGTTAGATTGGTCCCTTTTAGCCGGCCGGATTTATTGCTATATGGCCTATTAATATTAACACTATTTGTCTTTCCGCGACATGGATGTTTATTCAACTGTTCAACGATGGCCACGTGAATCGCTGGGCAAACGCACGACCGATTGAATCTTCGGTCACCGCATTTAATACATGAAATACTTCATATTCCTCCACTCTAAAATTCCATCTCCTTTTTGGTTCCGCTACGTCGCGCTTCAGCAAGTCACACTTATAAAACGTATGTTGATACCAACTGTCCGAGTTTGAATTGCAATCGTCAGAAGTCATCAAATCGTCGTAAAAGTATGGACCCCAACTAGTTCCGCACCCAATCGCTTGATTACCCACGTGCACCCTAGATAGCTGCGTTGCATTACTGTCGTTTGCATCAACACTGATTGAGAATATAAAGGTCGCATTAGAATACTGGTATGTCTGGTTACTATTGTAATACTGGCTAGATGATAAAATATAATTGTTCCATGTGTTGGGATTATATCCGCCTAGTATAATTTTATTGTTATCACTTGGCTTGATCAATACAATTGTCCCAGGATGATTATCACATTTTTCGTGAAAACATTCGGCCGAGAACCCATCTCTAGAACCCCTATACAATAGCTTGTATCGACGTTTTGATCTTTCCGGCACTTCATAAGAGTTACTCCCATCGATCCATTCGGCTATCAATGCAGCATTTGCATGAGTAATAAGCATAGATGTTATAATGGATGACGATCCACGAGAACCATTGGATGGTTGTATCGAATCTCGTTTAAGATAGTGATGCAATAGCTGTTCCTTGATATCCTTGGAAAGTATCTTCTTATATGGCCGCACTTTATCATAATAGTCTTGAGATGATATATCGAAGAATCTGATCTTGGGAATTAAATTATGAAGAACTTTTTCTAATTCAGCAAAATCATTACGGCTCCATTCAGACATGTCCTTATTGTTCAAATTCAGTACCTTCGACGTTCCCCATCTTATCACTTGTAGCCATAGATCGATCTCTTCCACTCCAAGATCATTCCGCTCAATCAACTCTCCGAAAATAGATTCATCCAGTGTTGGCAGTTTATCGGAATAAAATACCGAGGCTGGATTCTCGACAGCTTTCTGCAGACAAAAGTTTTTTAACTTTCCAAATGACTGATAATGGGAGACAAGCCGAAGGATGTCCATCAGATTAGACGTAAGCCATTCAGCACAATTAGTGATCAAGTGATCCTGACAAAAGCTAACTAGTGCTTTTAATTCCAGTTTTTCCGCAGAAGTGAGCAATTGAAGTGCGTCTGAATCACGTTGTGTCGAAAGGTCTATTACTCCAGCGTATGTGTATCTTTATGATGTCACGAAAAACTAGTCAGTTGCACAGTTGAGAAATACAATAAAACTGATCGATGCTGTCACATAGTCAGACCGTAATAATGCCCCAAAGTTTTTTGGTGTCATAGTTGGTATCGCAATTATATAGCAACCGCCCTCTTTCCTGGCTCTATCCTTTGCCAGATTCGTTCTAAAGTATCCTGACCTTGCTTTGATTATATTTGCATGTGCGCGAAACTCGTCGAAATCGGGAGCCTTTCCCACCTTGATGATAACGTCGTAATCATCTTCGCATTTGAGCAATTCAGCATAGTCATTACATAAATCGTTCAATAAGAAATCTGACATTTACGAGGGTATGTGAATGAAATGGGAGAGTGTTGGGTATCAAGTAATTAATAGACCTACAGTAACGATCAAATACAGAAGTGTTTATGAATGAATACATCTTTACGCCAGTCCATATACGCCAAATATTATGAAGAAAGTCATGTGAGCGTTCACAAGAGTTTGATCCAGACCTGGCTACAACTTACTAATCATTATGATTAGCGCTTTCGACCTTTACGTAATTCACGTAAGTAGAGAGAGATAAATCGTCAATTCCAGATGGACGTGAGAGAGAATGTGAAAAGGGGATTGAAAAACTTCTAATTCATGCGCTAAAAGCAGATTGTAAGTTATCGCCGAGCGAACAGAGATGTTACCTCTCACATTCTCATAGAACAGTTATTTATAGCATTGTACCACTTGAAAATTTTCGTTTGTTTGATCAAAGTGGAAATTATCATTGTTGTCTTTACCATCTATCAACTGAGAGATAACGGGTTGTGTTTGAACGTTCCCGTGACTTCGCGCACATGCGTAAAGAATAAACCATCTCAGTATGACGCCAGTTCCGAGAAAACACGTTCATCTCATATCAGTCAACGGGTATCACATCGTTGACTCGTCATTAAGAGAAGCAGACTATCATTTCAAAGTTATTTTATTTTGATCTACGACCAAAACAGGACGAAAGCAAAAAAAGTATATAATACAACAGGGGAATATGTCTTTATTCACCCGGGAGACATTTACAAAAAAAAAGAGGGGAAGAAAAAAGACAAGCTTTTTCTTCTTTTTCGTGAATGAAAGACTCACTATATTGATGACATAAATAACGTCATTTAGGTTTTTTCCCTCAATGTTGAAACGTAGGTTAATGTAATGATGAACTTGCTTACATATATCATCTTCATATATTCTAATTTAGGTATAGAGAGAATAAAGCGTAAAAATAATAGAGGAAATAGCGTAAAGGAAGAAAAAAGAAGATGGTAATTTATAAAAAATCTTTTTTTTCTTTGCTTTTCTTTTTTTTTCTTTAATTTCCAATCCAAAATAGTTCTCAGATTGAATAATTTTTTTGATTACATAAAAACATTTTGTCATACTTAAAAGAAGGCAAAAAAAGTGCTTAACACAGTCGGCTTCACATATCAAATGATAATAGTTCATCAGGACCACGCCACACTGCTAACAATACAGCAGCAAACAATAACGCCAAGAATCGACACCATCTCCAAAACCACGTAACAAGATTTAACACTGCTCTTGCCCATCGCCTCCAGAACCATTCTCGTTTTAACCTCAAGGCTTCAAGCTCTTCCTCGTAATCCGGATAAACGTATGAAAATTCATCATCTGATAAATAATCAATTGCAGATTTATCGTCGTCGTCGAGTAGGTCTCTGTTTCTCAGGTAGAATTCCCGGAAATCAGCCTCTGACGCAATTGGTGAGAACAGCGGTGACTCGATTGAATTGGAAGATCTCTTTCGCTCTCTCTTGAATTCTGCCAATTCGCGGAACCACTCATCTTCGAGTTCCTCCAACAGAGTACTCTTCTGAATTCGCGCAGCATGCATGGCATCCGGATCGGATAATCGTCTTCCTCCCAGTGTTGCATCAGTAAAACTATTTGTTCTCGTATGCGTTGCTGACTTCATGCCCAGACCAACGATTCTCTCGGTTTCAAGCATCGTCCTGAGTCCAGAAATCTCGTTCTGTTTTTCGGCATAATCGCCTTGAAGTTTATCAAAGTCACTAGATATCTCCTCCAGATGAGCACATCGTTCACGAAGAATGTCTAGATCCTGTAATACCCTTCTCAACCGTGAGTCTGTTTCTGCTTTTGATTTTTCGAGGATGGTGTTCTGTTCGTCGAGCTCGTCGATTTTCTTGTACAGCAATTGTACGTCTTCCTCATCGTCCGTGGGTTTTTTCCGATTACGTAGTTCTTGGAACTTTGTTTTGTATTGTTGCGACATGTGAGCCTTCTCTGCTTCGAGATCTTCAATCTTTTGGGTTGCCTGTGAATATGCGGCTTGGAGTTTCTCTACTTCACTCTCTAGTTTACGTTGCTTGGATTTATTAAGCCTGTCGGTTTCTTGTGCTTCGTTCACCATATTGTCCAATTTAGCGTGTAATTCGGTATTATTGAGTTCCAACTGCCTTATGATTTCGTATTCTTTGTGTGGCATTCCCATTCGCATGGGAGGGTGAGATAGTAAGATTTGATCCGATGCTTCGCTCAAGTTGGAGGTGACAGAGTCTGCATCATCGCTGTCATCAAAGTTCAGTAGATCGTCTTCGAAGGTTGATCCATTGGGGGGCGGTATTCTGGTTATGCTGGTTTTATCTGCAGTATTCATGGTGGACGATATGCCCTTCGTTTGTTTTCGCAGTTTCTTTACTTCCTGTACTAATGCTTCACAATGCTGCTTCAAAAGTGTATTATTATCCAAAAGGCTTTTACCGATTTCGGCGGCCAGCATGAGATCTGATAGGATTTGAAAGGGGCAAAGTTATTTAGTAGGTAAATAAAACTATTCAACAACAAGTTAGATAGATATTATAGATTTATTGTTAAATCTCCAATTTTACGCCGATAATCAACGCATCTTGTAGTTTGATCTTTTTATCTCGGAGGTTGTGCTTACTTACCTCTGTCCTTCTCTTTGATCTTGGTATACGCATCTTTCAAAGCAGCAGTAAGCTCTGCATTAGACCTGCTACTAACCCACGAACCAGATAATGCGGGAGAGGATAGTCCACTGTATGTTGGAGAAAGTGGACCGCTAGGAGAGTTTGAAATGGAAGGTATAGTTGACAAGTCAATGGTAAGTTTTGACTTTGATATGTTTTTGGGAGGAGGAGGAGCCATAATGATCATTAAAATTACTATGGAATATTGGGTGTTTAATGCTTTATCGATGAATAATAGTCTTTGAATTGAAAGAGTTGGCTATGGTGCTATTTTTGCTTTGGTGTTTGCTTTGGTATATATTGAACAGTTTTTGTGGTATCGTGATTGTTTGCTAGATAATCGTTAGGGAATGTCAAACTATACAAATTTATGTACAAGAGATGGTCATCAAGGAAAAAGTGAAACATTAATGGGTTGTGGAGGAGGAATGGACATCCGCGAACTTTTTATATGTCTGTCCTCCCTTCCACCCACTCTAGTACTACTTCCATCCCCCGTCCCTTTCGTCGCCTGTAAAATAGGAGAATTCTATAAAACCTGTTTGCTAAGTAACAGTGTATATTTTCAGATGGGAGATATTATAGAGTAACGAATGACATGATTTGCGTTATATTGAATACACCGAGTTATACAGATGGTATTACATAATAACAATAGAAATGGAATAATCAGATGGCAATCAATACTTACATAAACTATTCAAACGGTTTTAAAGTTACCACTGTATAATCTACGTCATATGTATAAATTATTTGAGATACGCCATATTCGATATACACAATGTGTACAGTATGTACAGTATGTACTGATGTGCTGATGTATGTAATATTTATGGTAACTATGAAAAATTCTCCTCAAAATGTGGCTGCAGATTGAACATCAATATCAGTACATTCCTATAATAACTGACTTGTTGAATTGTGTAATATGTGTACTAGTATGGTCGAACAATATACGTAAGTTGTCCCATTTCTCTTTCTATAATAAATCCATTACAGTAATGAAGCTATCCGCGAGTGCAGAATACCAATCATATTCCGTGAATACGCGAACTGAGGAATTGCTGTTATCGGTCCACTCTATAATGGCATCTATGGATGTCTATCAAGCGGCATTCTCTCTCACAGTATTCAAAATGGCTTTGTTAATTGCAAACAATTGAACGTGATTGCAAATGCAAGCAAATACGACTCGAATCGTGTGAAGATAAAAAATTTTAGTGCACATAGCCAATTAGTCATAAAAAGGATGCCAGGCAGAGAGGCTTGACTGTTAACATACTGAGGTTACCCTGATGTATCGACATGTTAACAATCGAGTGTTAACGGGACTGGTCTTACCTCTTTCATCGATATTAGCGTCATTAAGGAGGTCTCGCACCAAAGGTTACTGTGTCTCCCGAGTTCACGTTTTACGTTAACGTTTTATGTATTTCCATGTGGATATGTGTCGTTGAAGATAAGTGCAAATCCACCAAAGTGGTACCAAGTGATACGTATCATTTATAGTAGCAATAGTATAAATGTAAATAACTGAACTGATACCGATATTAATATGTTTACCCAACTAGACTCATTTATTGAGCCATCTCCAGTCCACCTGATTCTCCCTTGCATCTTCACACGTTTCTCACTCTCCCTTTAGGAACAAAGCACAGTGTTTTTGCAATCTATTCGTCCGATAAGAGTGATCAACTCTGATAATGCAAATGGAACTTTGCCAATCAGGAATATCATGATGGGCAGAATACGGATTCTATCGCAAAATCTCGAATAATCCATGAATCCAACAATGCATGTATGTAGTACCTAATTATATGCGGAAGAGAGAGAGGAGAAGGGGAGAAAGAGAGAAAGAGAGAAAGAGAGAAAGAGAGAAAGAGAGAAAGAGAGAAAGAGGTTATATTATTTGTATATATATGTATATATGTTGTGTGTGTGTGTGTGTGTGTGTGTGTGTGTGTGTGTGTGTATGTATGTATGTATGTACGTGTGTATATGTAGTCTCCTTGTATGTCGCATTATGTAAATTTGTAAACGTTTACCAGGCTCGACTAACATGTAGCTTTTTTTTAAACGTTTCGATATTCTCTTTTATTATGTACCAAGATAATTACTGTTTATGTCATAGTACGTACAAAATGCACATGAGAGTGAGGCACACAGTACATTATGTAACAACAATTTTGAGTAAACAATACACAAGAAATCAACAAATACAGTGATGATATCATCAATAGAATGAGAATAGCTAGGGACAAGGGAGTGATTATATATTTCTTATGAGACGAATATGGATAGTAGCGTAAGAAACGTGGAAGTCAGGTTGGTTATTGTCTGTAGCGGTGGGTTATTTAGATTGATATCGGTATTTGATTTAATACAGAGATTGTCAAATATCTTATCTATCGCTACATCTTATCGTATCACTAATTAAAAAGGAGCTATTCAAACGAACAAAGACCGAGCAAGACCGAGATATATATCTCGATGTAATCGAGTTTAGCCTCTAAAAGCAAATTCGTTATTCTAAAAATAGGATTACAATCATATTACGTACTAATCTACTCCTTGACCCTGGAACATAACAATAACAAGTGAGGGGAGGGAAAGAAAGAAAGAATCCAACAAAGTTATTTGTACAATACGACCGCTGTACTATAGTGCTAGATGATGTGGTCTGCATCTTTTTTTTTTTTTTTATGTTTGACATCGATAGATAGCTGGATTTCCATATAACATTATGATTGTATTACTGCAGCATAATCGGCCAATTATATTAATGGTAATCCTCTAGTCATGCGTCTGACAGTTTAACGCCACTATCCGTTTTCGTTCGATGTCTGGGTTTTTCCCCCCAAAGAGAGAATTTACGATAAGACATGAAAAATCAAGAAGATGATTTCTTGCAGATCCCAAAAAGAATGATAGCCACAATGTAACAATGTAACAATGCATGAATGTAATAAAGTAATAAACATATGTATAATGTATGTATGTATGTATAATGTATGTATAATGTATGTATAATGTATGTATGTATGTATATCTGTATGTATATCTGTATGTATATCTGTATGTACTGTATATGTATGTACTGTATATGTATGTACTCTTTTTTTCATAAAAAAATTTTCTTTCAGCAAGAGAAGAAAAGAAGAAAGAGAACCAAATCCAACTAAAGCATTAGTGTCGTACATAATTGTGTGGAACTTACATTGAACCTCTCTCGTAACTGGTTGTAAGCTAAGTAATGTAACATATTAAGAGATACAAAGTTTATCGGAGATTTGCTCAATCAAACAAAGAAGATATATACAATATTTGAGTGAAAAACTGCTCAGTGTCATATTATGCGTGATGTCCTGTTTTAATGCCTTTTTCTCCACAGTCATCACCATTGGTGGCTTAGATGCATGTCCGAGAATTGGGGATTTGTGTAGTAGTAGGGCAGTTGTTACAGTTGTTACAGTTGCTACGAGATTTACGGCCATAGTTTATGCGGGGAAAGGGCGGGACGTAACATGAAATTTGGGTGAGTAAGCTGAGCACATGCAATATGTGGATCAATATAAGCCCTTTGAGGTGTGAATAGGAAGCTGTAATGGAATGTGTGAATCGACAAGCTTCTAAAAAGTCATATGCTGATTACAATCCCTAACCTGTATGTTACCCGATGGGATTAAATATGGAAAGAGAATGAGTGGGGTGATGATGCTAATATTATTGTGTCATAATGGTACGAGTTGAACGTGTTCCCGTTTGTCTTTAGCGTAACCTTAAAGACGCCACAACGTCGTATAAAGTTTTGGGATTTATCAATCTGAACTCAAATTTGGTAGTCAAAGGACATAATAAAAAAAAAATAATCAACAGAATGAAAAAAAAAAAAAGTCAAATTCTTCTTTTCCCCAACGAGAATTCTTCATTCTTACCATCCTGTCCATTGTTCGCGTAAACAAAAACCTTAATCTCGGTGAATAATGCATTATATTTACAATGTTGTTCCTTCGTTATTGTCTTAACAGAGTGGGACATATGGGAGAAGAAAAAGTTAATGATAATATTAGCTATTATACGACGTATTGAAACTATGTCATGCGTATCAACAAAATTGTCTTGGTTTTCGATCCAAATTTAGTCGAAAAAAACTGGTGTTCCCACCCCTGCTTAGTTTAATTAAAAAACGTCTGGCGAAATGAACTTTGTGTAAATAGTGATAGTAAAGTTAAACAGTTCGTATACCATCACGTGTCTACTTTTTTCTCTATCTCTTTCTCTTTTTTTTTTTTTTTTTTTAAAGTCAGTCTCCGCCTTTTGTCTCCTTGTGGGAAAAAAGAGCTGCTACAATGTCAGAAGCAACAACGTAATATTTTAATGAATATCAATTTTCTTCCGTATATGGTCACGATCTGTTTCTTGCTCAGGAGAAGAAACGGATAGAAAACATGAAAGAGAAGGAAAAGGAAAAGAGATGGATAACGAAAGTATCCGGGATCAATTCTTGATCAAGTGCGAAAAAAAAAAAAAAAATTGTGATCAATCTTATCATGTGAAAATTTGACAAAAGGTGAAATGTGCGAAATTGTCATTCTATTCTTTTATTTTTACTTGCGCTTTCCGTCCCTTGTTGATATCAAGTGGGTTTGGCTAGCATATTAATTGATCACCTAAACATCTCATTGCTCAATGTTCAGCAGATGACCATTCTTCATCTATTACCACTGCCTGCCTCTTGGTCTGTCTCTCCATCAGTTCTCTCATTGTATGATGTGCTCCCAGCTTGTCGCTCATCGTCTCCGTCATCCCCATCCTCAGTCATGAATCCAGGCACTCCAGGCACTCCAGTCACGCCAACGCTTCTCAATGCATTTCTGTTCAATATTCTAGGCAAGTTAACTGCATCTCTGTCCGTTCTTACAAACTTTCCAAGTGTATCAGACTCGGCAGCAGCAGACGTGCTAACAGTAACAGGCACACTGGGAACGCCAGCTATACGTTTGGCCTTTTTTAGTTTTTCGTGGTGCTTGAGTTGTTTATTCCAAAGTTTGAAATAAACACCATTCTCAATTTGCATAAGTTCATCATGTGAACCCCGTTCTATTATTTCACCATGTCTGAACACAAGTATCTGATCTGCGTGAACGATTGTCGAGAGACGGTGGGCTGAGGTCGAGAAATATGTGTGAGTATGCATTCTTATACCAAAACCGTATATCATTATGTGCAAAGCATGCATACAGGTAAGTATGCTGTGTGCAAATAAATTCCTCACGTACCGATTGTTAGCGTAGTTCTATTGACAGTCATCCTTCGTAATGACTTTTGAATGTGTCTTTCTGTACTGGTGTCAAGGGCTGATGTCGCTTCGTCAAGCAATACAATCTGAGGATTCTATTTATAAATAATATGATTAGTCGTTATATCGCGTAACCGACAACCATTTGTAATCGCTATATTATGTGTTCAATTACCTTTAGCAAAGTTCTAGCGATAGCCTATATTGGTTTGTATAATATGAGTAAAAAACCAAAGTTTCCAAAATTTGCGTTGCTAGGCAAATTGTAAAAATATTTAAATTACATTATACTCACTACACGCTGCTTCTCGCCTCCACTCAGTCTCAGACCTCTCTCTCCAACGTTGGTGTCATAGCCATCAGGAAATCCGAGAATTTTATCGTGAATTTGGGCAGCTCTTGCAGCATCCTCTACTTGTCGATCGGTTGCATCAAATGTACCATATCTAACATTATATCTTATATTGTCGTTAAATAGAATAGTATCCTATAGAGACAGGAGAGAGATAGTTATAGATGACTAATTAATTATGACCTTCCCATTGCGCCCATAACGCCCGTAAATACCTGAGGTACGATTCCAATATTTTTCCGCAAGTCACGTTGCTTTACGTATCGTATATCCTGTCCGTCTACGAGAATACGACCGCTCTGGACATCAAAGAAACGAAACAGCAGGCGCAAGATAGTCGACTATAACCGAAGATTTGTTAATTCAAAAGATCGAATAACGTAAATGTTATCAGGACATTATCTTGTGTGATTTATTCTTCACGCTTGTTACCGACCTTCCCTCCTCCCGATGGTCCAACAATAGCAACGGTAGATCCACTAGGTATTGTAAATGAAACATTCTTCAAGAGAGGCATTCTGGAATCATACGAAAAGCTAACGTTTTCAAACGCCACTTCTCCTTTCTTTACTGCCAATGGTGCAGCCTGTTGTAAATCTTTTATTTCTGGTGGTTCTTGCAACAAATCCAACATCTTTTCCATGTCTACGAAATTTTTCTGAAGCGCTCTGTAGTAATTACCAAACCAATTTAATGGCTGGTACAATTGAAGTATATAAGTGAGGTACATTACAAAGTCTCCGACCGACATGTCTCCTCGAACGATGCGACGAGCACAGAGTAGACAACCGGCAAGAAGACCGACTTGGATAACCGTGTTTTGTGTTAAATTGAGAAGATACGTTGTTATGTCAGATTTCTTGTCTGCAGCTTGATAAGCCAGGATAGCGTCTGTATATCGTTCAACTGGAGGAATTAAGTATTAGAACAATGAGTTTACGGTAAGCAAAAATGGTGAAAGAATGCATAGGAGAACGTTGGTCTAAATAGAACGAGAGATGCAACACATCGCAGAAACGCATGGATGTATGCACGGGATAGACGGGATAGAGAACATGGCACTGATCCAAGACTTCCATATCCCGTTACATTAATTACCTTCAAATGGCTCCGCGGCATAATATTTGACGGTTTCGTAGTTTAAGAGTGAATCGACTACAACAAAATCATCAATTGAGCTTCTTCCGTACTTGTACTAAAACAAATAGTACTTCGATTATTATATCCCTTCCCCCCATCTGTTGCTTCCGATCAATTTCACCTGTATACTAACCAGCCTTGGTCTGCATAGTATTTTCCAGAGTATTTGTCAGTCGTCTATATTTTGTTCTCCATTCAGTCATAACTATAGTAGCCACTATATAGCAAGCCATAGTGATGAATACAATAAGACCAAAATATATATCAAAGGCAATAGTACAAATGACGACGGCGACTGTAATATCAACTAGGGTGGGAATAATATTAAAGAGAACAGAAGATAGAATGGACACAATCGAAGACACGCCACGATCTGTTTAAGAGAAAAATCGCAAACGTTTAACGATAAAATTAGGGCAAAATAATAGAGATTGTCGCGGGGTGGGCACTCACCCTGTACACGAAGTATTTCACCAGTTTTGCGATTAAGGTGGAATCTGAGCGAAAGATTTAAAAGATGTTCAAACATCTTTACAGAAACCTCACGAGTAGTAAACTGAGAGGAAGGGGATTCAACAAAAGTTATTTAATAAAGCAGAAATCACCAAGAAATGTCAACAAGATGCACGTACCTGCCCTACGTCAATCCATAGATAAGATTGTAAAGTCTCGATCAATCCAACACTCCCTTGTAGGAACCTCAAGCCGACATAAATTAAAATAGATTCCCATGCAAATACTCTGTCTGATAGCTGGTCAACTAGTACTTTATTCTGGTACGGCAGTAACGCGTTGGCTATTCTTCCCAGGACAAGTAATATCACACAGACTATGATTTTGAGTTGCAATGTCCAATTCCCTTTTGGCCATAGAAATGGCAGCAATTTCTTCGATATATTAAAATACTCAGCGATTGTTGATGGTGGAGCGTATATTGGATCATCAGCCGTTGATGCTGATTTAGAGTTGTATGGAGTGCTATGGACGTCGTCTGTCGTCATTCTATCGGCAGTTCTAGTGGTATCTTCGTTGAACGCAGCCTCGTCATCTATTATACCATTTATTCTCTCATCGATGTTTTCGTCATGGATGGGGTCGTATCCTATGCTTTCGACGGATTGTCTCCATGCAATAGTCAATGAAGCTGCACAGCAAATTAGTATAACATTGAGGGAGTATTGCAGCAAAAATATGGCCATCAGAGTAGAGTTCTGATGCCAGTCGTCGGGAACATCATGTCCTGCCCAGTTGTGAAAGTGACGCAAACGGTGATATGTTTCTACTGTCCATATTGCAAAGAATATATACCATAATCCTTGTACGTAGTAACTCAGTCTCTCACGTCTTCTGATCTCGTTCGTTGCTATGATGCAATTCATAGTCCATGCGAAGGCCACCAACAGTTTAGAAGGCAGCATATAAGCAGGCATATCGACTTTCATGTTTCTTTTCTCTGACAATATAAACATTACATGGATAATACTGAAGACAGCCATTAATCCAACCAGAAGTTGAATTGATTTAACTAGAAAGTGGAGAGGCTTGGGGTATGAATCTAGTGGAAGATACCGAGAAGAATCCCATGCTGTGTATTGAGGAGTGTATTGAGGAGTGGATGTGTCTTCTATATCGTCAATGTCATTAGTATTAGATGGGTTGTTTGGAATAGGAAACTAAAAATCTCTACGGAAAAACGAGGAAAAGGATATAGGGACAGAATAGGACGGAATAGGATAGAATAGGACAGAATAACGTAAAGTCAAATATCAATTACACCAGTATCACTTACAATCTTGTCATAATCCTAATATACGCGGACAGTTATTTTCAAATATACTGGACACATACCGTACAGTCTGGTTGTTGCTAGTTTCCTTTTATACTGCTGTATGGCCAGAATAATAGCATATATCGTGATGTAAATAACCGACACAGTTAAGATCAAGAAAGGTGGTTCGCATAGTTCTAGACTCGAGTGTCCTGATGACAGTTTCTGTCGAATTGATGGTAAGAAAGCTCCCATAAGCAAAGTTTATCAAAAGTCTAAAGAGTATTTATTTGTGCCGAAAAGTTCTATGCAATGGGCCCGTAAGATGGGGGTGCAAGGGCAGTCAGTCTACTGCAAAGGTATGAAATGAGTATGAAATGAGTATGAAATGAGTATGAAATTGATTTGGTTAACTTTTTTTTTTCGGCCTTTTCCTTTCTAATTTTATTTTCCACAGATCAAAGGCATTATTTAGCTTTACTATTACTAAACAATTTTTTCGCTAACAGTGAATGCGTGGGATATATTGATTAGCTGCCATATTAGGGGGTAATGCACATGGATGCACGCACGTTTACCTTGCGTTCATTCCATCCCATCCCAAACCAGTAATATTGTATTGTTCTCCTTATTTTCTTGAAAGAATACTGCAATACTAATACAGCTATGTAAATTCCCTAAAGTAAATGGTAACGTGAGAATTAAGAATTTATTCTTTTCTTTTTGGTAAACGAATAATACAACGCGATTGACTAGCTGACCTACAAAACATGATCATTCCTGAGAAGAAACATTTAACCTGGCATGTGAATTATTTATAGTAACATTAATAGCTACGCCTGTGTTATATGATTGCGATTTTACATTGCTATGACAATTGGAGTTTGCGTTCCTATGACAATTGGGCCTGGGAGAACTTAATTTATTGTATGTGTTCGCGAACCGCGAGGTAGGGGATTGTAACACAAACATTTAAAGTGACTCAGATACGCCACTTCCTATTATAGTCAATTCATTAATAATTGGTCCATCATTACTGCATTAGCTAGTGAAACCATAGAAACATACTGTACTGTATACATGTTACGGCCCGTTGGATTGTCAGTATTTGCCTTCCATTTTATCACATAAATGTATTACTTAAGAGATTGTTGGTTGGTTTAAGAGTTTATTGGTTGGTTTACAAATCCCGAAACTGGCCAAATCCCCAGAACGGCCCGTAACATATAAAACGCTATCCGAATCACATGATCTTTAATTATTACTTTCATATTAATTCCGTAATAGCATTTATTATTGGGATAGTTTAATTCAAATTTCCTGGTAATTGTGCTGGTAGAGCGGGAAACCGTTAATTCCTCTATCAGTAAGAATGATCGATCTTGCTCATAGATTATCCCGGTTGGCAAATACGATTGCTAATTTGACGTCCGAGAGTTGCCACCTCGTTTGAAGGTGCATAACTGATTGTCCCTCCTCAATTGGGATAGAAAGCTTTGACAATTTCTCCGCATATAAAACACTGCTGCACTGGTTAGCTGTAAAATTTCTGCTCAATTGAATGTCTCTTGTAAACCTTCAATATTTGTCTCTAAAACATGTGAAACATATCAAAACTGCATGGAGCTTATTTCGAAGTTGAACTTTAAAATCCTTATCTCCACATACTTCTAACTAATTTACATTTTTGTCTGTCAACAAATCCATCTTTGCTTGCTCTTTGGGATATATGGTCGAACTAAAGGAAATCGTTATCTTGGCAAGATACACAGTGGCTCTCGATATAATAACCCCTCGATAATATGATGTAATGCTTTTTCCCGGGCTCAACTTAGTTATAATAAAATTGGGCTCGATATAATGAAGATTACTTATAATCTCGCGATATAACGTTATAATGATGTTGTTGTGCGATATATAAATAAAACGATCTCGACGATTAGTGATGTTTCCATGCAGTTATTAATTAATGTACGGGATCAGGATTTTTATCGTCCAATAGTAACGCCGTTGAAGTTCGTAAATCATCACCATAATTGGTAATCATTTTATCGAGCATATTAAGAATTCGATGTTTTTGTGATAAGTTTTATTCTCCTTAACTCATTCCCGCAACATTAAAAGACAATGAACAATAGAAGTAGGTTAGTAAATAAAGCGAGTTTCTCTAACGGGCGTTCAAAAAAGAGGTTTGTGTTTAAAAAAGAAAGCTCAACCTAATTTGACTCGTGCAACGCTTGCTAAACTGTATGAAAATACTGTCTCTACCATTCTCAAAAATCCATTGTACTGGCTGACTCTAGACAAAAGTTTTTCTTTAGCGAAGAGAAACGCTCACAAATTGCCGCATATCCTGTAATTGAGGAAGCTCTTTATACGTGGTTAGAACACGCAAATCAAGTTTTCCAAGTTATATCTGGTCATATTTTGCAAAAAAACAAAACACAAAAGCTTTTGCAACTCTGGCAAATATTGACACCTTAGATTCTTTTCCAAGATAGTATAGTTATCTGAACAATTGCCATACTGTATATAATAAAGAAATTTTCGCTTGATATAATAATGTTTTACGTGACTCAAATATGATTTTCGTTATAACGAGATCGCTCAATATAATGAACTTTCGATAATATGAACCTTTTGGTCCGGCTCGACGACTTTATCTTATCAGTATTATTTTGCACAATTATTGCATTCTGTAGTAGCGATCAATTATAGAATGCATTCTGACAATGTAGAGAACAAAAAAAACAAAAAACAAACCAACCAAATTTAGTGTCGAGATATGAAATTGCGCATGGTAGGTAAAATATTTATGTGTCTGAAAAATTTGCTGGAAACGTTCGATCGAGCTAAAGTTTTATAGATGGTCAGTATGGGTCGGATTATGCAATTGTTGACGTTTTTAATAATGGTGGTCATCTAGTTGTCTAAAGTAAAAATTTCCTTTGATGCGTAAGTTCTGATAAGGTTCCGCGTTAGGTATTAAAGACAAAGGTATAAGCCACAATCACTGTCATAATCAAGGTTTTAACGACTTGGAAACCGTAATATTTATATTACGTCCAGAAGTGCAAAACTTAGGGTAAGCGATATCCAAGTCTAATATTCTCACCTTCTCGTCACTGGAGCTCGATGCTCATGGGGGCACATAAGCATAACGTCATTTGGTTTTTGCGCCAGTTTTTAGAGGCCACACTGCTATAATTATAAAACTAAAATATAACTGGGGGTTTTTTTTACAACAGGCCTAAATCTTATGCAAGAACTCGAGGAGAATGCTATCTACCCACACCAAACACACTGTTATGTTTGGTGGCGTGCTTCAAATTACGAATAAAATGATAATAAAGGCACGCTTATCCATTACCTCTGTCCAACAAAAACAACGCAACATCGGCAATAATAAGCTACGCAACTCGAAAACAGTGTCTCGGAACACGTCCCGATGGACAGGTTTATATCTGTTATTAATCTATAGTAATAGTGCAACAATGCTGAATATATGTAAAAAGTTCTCAAATATTGGGAGAATTAGAAGAGAAGAAGATAGCGTCTTCTTTTGTTATTTAACCCTAATGCGTAACAAATATTAAACTTGTCAACGACTTACAATACTTTTAAAATAGATTGTTCACACTTACAAAAGATTATTTACACTTTTTTAATCAATAATAAATGCACATTTACTAGATTTAGACGTATTATTATATGACATATTTTCGATCTTTACAGGGAATAGTAATAGTGGCTCTGGAACTCTGAATGTTATTTCTGATGAAATGGCAGAAGATTTTTGGGTTAATAGCAAGCGACCAAGTGTACTCATAAAATTTATGTTGGCTTCTCTTCCTCTTAGATTTGTTGCATTTATGAAGTCTATTCCAGAAGAAACTCATAATTATAATAATATCCTGTTAATACTTGATAATGGACTTTCATCATGTAAAATTGCTGCACAATTAGGTGTCAGCCATACTACCATGATAGAATATGTGCAAAGTCAAGAATGGATATCCAGAAAGTTGTGGCATGGCAGATGACCAAAGCCACTGATAAACACGGGTTACTTTGTACAATTACTTCAGGTAAGCCAGATAATGCTGTCCAACTCACCTGTAAGCTAATAAGGGATGTCAGCAATATTGCGAAGTCAGTGCCCAGACAATATGCCATGCCTTAAAGAGGCTGGGTTAAAGGCAGTGACAAAGAAGAAAAAGCCACAAGTGAACAACAGAAGTGTGCCAACCGTCCTAATCCGGTCATTGTACCACTTGAATTTGATGTGCCGCAGAATCGGAGATCTGGAATACGCCTTGCCTTGATTCTGACACATTACACAGGAAGAAGTGCAGCAGGAATATATTAACGAATGCCCTGCTTGTGCAATAAATTCTTCTATCAAAGAGAAAATTAATATATGATACTGATTATATCAACTGCACCATGGAAACATATTAAATCAACCTCATCAACTTCCACGAGTTTTCAACCAAAATAATGGGTTTTGCATATAACCTGTGTTTGCACGTTCTCCAAATTCCTTGTTGCAATGCCTATGAAGAACAAGGAAGCAACAACTGTTGCTACTCACCTTGTGAAAGATGTATTCAAAATTTTGGGTCTGCCAGATATAGATATTCTCCAAAGTGATAATAATAATGGCAAGGAATTTGTCACTGAGGTTATTATGCAGGTTTGCAACAATCTTGGCATAATAATAAAGATCAAACATATACACAGGTGTCCTCATCATCCCCAGTCCCAAGGCCAGATTATTGGTCACAGTTTCACTAATACTAAGCTGCTATGGGATAACAAACATATATTGATGTGTTTACAATTCAACCATACATTAAACTAACAAATGTACACTGCATGAGGCAATGTTTGGTTGGAAAATGCATTGCATTTATGATACTCCTGATAAAAAAGAAAACACAATTAAAGTGAATGAGGACAATCAAATGTCAGTCTCAGATGCTATCAATGAGGACAATCAAATATCAGTCTCAGATGCTGTCAATGAAAATGTGATTGAGCATCTATTGCTGCAACAAGTCCAGCAATCAGTGAATGAAGTGGAAATAACATAATTATGTTATTTCCACTTAGTATAGGTTATTTCCACTTAGTAAGGTTATTTCCACTCAGGTATGTGTTGTGATCCAAATTTTATGACACGGACTAAGGTGTTGTGATCCAAATTTTACGACACGGACTAAGGTGTTGTGATCCAAATTTTATGACACTGACTAAGGTGTCGTGATATTTATTTTATGACACGCACCAAGGTGGCGCATTTTGTATATCAAGCCACATGTAGC